TCTACATTTAAATCAAACTGTAAAAAGAAAATAATAGAAATAACGTGAAATTTAATAGACTTTTAAATATTAAATTCTGGAAAAAATTTAATTTGAATCATGTAGCTAATTAAAAAAATGTGATAATGCCTGGCCAGAAAATATGTTATATACCTTGACTTGAAAATGTTCGACATTGGACCAAAATACGAAAAGTAGGAAACGTTTCCATGTAGTAGAAAATCAGCCACTAGCAACATCCAATAGAGTCAACGTTAAACCAAGGCAACAATAGAGTCAACGTCAGACTAATCCTGACACGCTATTATTTAAAGACGACGAAGATCTGTATTTACATATTATATATTTTGTGATTACTACTATCTATATTCTGGAATTTATTTGGAAAGTCCTTCTCCTCAGTCCTAATCCCTTTTGGGATGTGGTGACACCATCAGGCCTTCACAGTTTTTTTAGGATTTCCCTCCATCCTTCTCTGTCCCGGGGCTAGTTGCTCGGCTTCATGCAACCCTTTGGAAATTAATTGACCGATAATTATGTAATTTATTTAAATTTGTTTAAAATTTAGTGTTTTTTTTATTATTTGTATATTTTATCATCAAAATTGGATAAAAACCCCCCAAAAAGGCACTTCCCAACGGCTAATACGGATTGTCCTAGGGATATATAGATAATAGCACAGGAACGAAATATTCTTCCGCAGATAAACTGAGAACATGGCATAACCACGGCCGGTGCGCCTTTTGCGTTTGTCAAAAAAGTTTTTGAACCTTTACCCAAATATGACACAACTACCATTTCGATTTCGCCGCTTGATTGATTTAATGATGCAAAGATTAGTTGAGCATAATATTTTGACAAAATATAACTCGTTTGGTGTTATGTTATAACACACGTTGCATCTAAGTTATTACAATAGCTTAGATGCGACTGTTAATATCCGCTGTTTCTATTATAATTTTAGAGTGTTACATCTCACAATTGCCTAAAATATACAGGTGCAGTTTTCTGCACTCCTTAACTACATGTTACATATTGGATTGTGGCGCCCAGAATCCTACCTAACGAAGCCAGTGGGTACAACAAGCAACGCCCTTATACCTTAGGTTTTGGGGTAAAATTGTAAGCGTTAACTAAATTGGAAGCAACACTAAGCGTAGGCCTGAAAATAAACGAAGAAAAAACTAAATACATGGTCGTATCAAAAAAGGAACGACAGCGAATAAGACAAAACATTACCATAAACGACCATAATTTTGAGGTGGTCAAAGAATTCAAATACCTAGGAGCAACAATTACCAGTGAAAACACAGGAGAACGGGAGGTTGAAATACGAATACTGGCGGGGAATAAATCATTCTTTGCCATTCAATATCTAATGAGGTCAAAGCTTCTCTCAAGGCGTGCCAAAATCCAAATGTACAAAACCATAATACGACCAGCAGTGACATATGGAAGTGAAACATGGACATTGAGAAAGAAAGAAATCAATAAGCTATTAGTATAGGAACGCAAAATCCTGCGAATTATATATGGTCCTTGCAGGGACAGCGTGACAAATGAATGGAGGAGCAGATACAACAATGAAATAGAGACTCTCTTCGGGAAAGGAAACATCGTAAGATACATAAAAGCCAATAGATTAAGATGGGCAGGCGACGTGGTACGGAGTGATGACGACAGACTGATTAGCAATGTGTTTTGGGAAAGACCAGATGGTAAAAGATCGACAGGAAGGCCTAGAAAAAGGTGGAAAGACGCTGTTAGGGGGAAGACCTGGAGAAGATGGAAGTAAGGCCATGGGAAATCATAGCACAGGATCGGAATCAGTGGAAGGCAATAGTTAACGCGGCAAAAACTCACGAAGAGTTGTAAAAGCCAATGATGATGGTGATGACGTTAACTACTATATAACCAAAACTGTGGATCCAACAAATGGCACCCAAACCCTAACAATGTTTTTCTCGTAGGCTGCTACTAGATGCTTGTCCCAATACATAGGTAAACATCAAAGACACAAAATTTATTTTGCATTTTTTAAGCTTTTTGGAGCCAGTCAATTACATTTACTTTTTTCCATGAGATGTCGGTAACTTTTCCACTAATTTTAAGTGATAGCCGGGGTTATCGAAAACAGCATTATTTGGTAAAAAAATCAATAACTGAGTAAAGTACTCCTCAAAAACTTCGGACTTTATTTCTTCGTGGTAATCTTTAGTCAATTTTGAAACGAACTTAAATAAACTATTCTCCACAAAACCATTTTTCTTCTTCTTCTTGTGCCGTCTTCTAACGAAGGTTGGCGATCACTTCTTTAAACGCTTCTCGATCTTTTGCAACGTGAAATATCTGTTCAACACTGAGGTTAGTCCTCAGTGTTGAACAGATATTTCTGATAATCCTCAGCCAAGATTTCTTCTTTCTTCCCAAACCTTTTCTTCCCTCTACTCTACCTTGCATGATGACTTATAGCAGAGAATATTTATCGTTTCGGAGTATGTGGCCCAGATACGATGTTTTTCTTATTTTAATTGTGTTCATAAGCTTTCTGCCATGTCCAACTCGTCTTAACACTTCCTCATTGAGACTTTTGCAGTCCAAGGAATCTTCAAAATACGCCTATATAGCCACATTTCAAATGCCTCCAATTTTTTTATAGATTGGGCTTTCAGAGTCCAAGCTTCTACCCCATATAGTAGTTGCGACCAAACATAGCATTCGAACCTCAATCTGATGGCCATACTCAATTTCTTATTTGTAAACATTGACTTATATTTTATAAAGCCTTTTCGAGCTATTTCTATTCTGACCTTTATCTCCTGCTCTTGATCTAACTGTGAGTTTATAATTACTCCGAGGTATTTATATTTGTCGACTCTCTCTAGGGGTTTACCCTCCAATGTCAGTTGTATGTTGTCAACAGGGTTTTTTGAGATAACCATGTATTTGGTTTTATTTATATTCATTGTTAGTCCCATATTTTTGCTTTCTCTATTAATGATTTCCAGGAGAGTTTTAATATTTTTATTTACCCATACTTTTGAAAAACTATGATTTTCGTTTAGACAGGTTTCATCTGAACAGAAAATCCATCTTCCTTCTAATCTAAATCTTTTTATCGCTCTCAAATATTGCCTTCCCAACAAACAATCTCTTCTATAACGTTCAATATAGGTTTTTTCTTTGATTTTCATAGCACAACAAAACACAACAGGCATACAACCACTATAAACGAATCAGAAATGAAACGAATACTTTAGTTAGACAAATAAAAAGGGAACACTGGCAGAGCTTCTCAAAACATATGGAACACGACTTCTACGAAAAACAAAAAGAAACATGGAAAATGATCAGAGGACAAAGAAAAGCGATGAACGAACTAATAAAAACGAAACAGATTCAGAAGGAAACAAGGATAGACTACTTTCGATCACTATTTGCTAAAGGTGACGATAATGAACCCCCAACACCAGAGGTGACGACAAACGAAGAAATAAATATTAACGAGGAAGAGGTAAAGGAAGCATTAAGGAGATTAAAAAATAGAAAATCACCAGAAGAGGACAAAATACCGAACAAACTCCTAAAGTACGTAGCACACACTTACACAGTGGTGAGTACAAACTTAAATGTGGCGACTGCCCAAAAACTTACATCGGTCAAACTGGTAGAAACTTTAACAAACGAATAGCAGAACATAAAAGGGCTTTCAATAATAGAAAAACAGATTCTACATACGCACTTCACCTTCTAGATCGCAATCATTCTTTTAACGACGAATTTAAAATTTTTCACATTCAAAATAAAGGCCTTAAGCTATCCTTGTTAGAACCTATGGAAATCAACAAATTAAAAAACACAGATATAATTCTGAATGACCAACTTGAGCATGCTAAACATAGATCACTTGAAAAAGGCAATCAGCCGAAACAGCTATAGTGATTTTTGTGGAAGTTTGAAAACAAAGTTTTCAGTGTTTTATTGTTACATAATTTGAATTTATGCAAATTTTATTTAACATTGATTTTGTGCGGGCAACTGACATTCAAAATCGCGGTTCGCTTCAAGCGTTGCTTCTGAGAGAAAGATTTATTCTATTAAAAAGTGCTAATAAATGTTTTATTCAAAATTATCTCAGCTACATTTTTTTTGAAATATTTTTCCTATGGCATACAGATTCTTGGTACATCGATTTTTTTGCGTTTTTACCCCCTTACGAGAGCGGTTTTAGGGGAAAGCTCGGGGATAAAAATGGTAAACTTTTTTGCATCTTTTTTGGGGTCCCAAAATTAATATTCTCGGCGAAATTTAGTTTGTTCGTATGATTTTTAGGTGACAAATCTCTGACGACTGAACTATAAGTATTTTCCATAACTTATTTTGGCTAAAGTGACAAAATTATGATCTCTTATTACCTTTAGTATTGTATTCAATGTAGGAATCTCCTTGTTTAAATAGAATGAATGAACTTTTCTACGAAGGACGTTTCTATGAAAAATTTCAATTCCCATTGGTTGTTTTCCTTCAACGCTTATTGCCCAGTAATGCTTCCTTGTTTTCTTTCACTTAAAAATATGTTAATGGTTCTTTCACCAACACCCTATTAAAAAACAATAGGACACCCTGTATATATATATATATATATATATATATATATATATATATATATATATATATATATATATCTCAGATAACTTTTTATAACTTGCAGGTGTGTTTAAATAAAAACTATAATTTTTCAACATTCACATGATCCTCTTAGATTAAACTGTATAGTGCAAACGTTTGTTTGTACTTCAAATGTTTGCAAAATTAATTAATAAACAATTTACCATAATCACTTGGAATATGTAATATTTTTTTTTGTTTTAAACACAAATTTTTAATATTTTAAACTAAGTTTGTAGAAGATTTAAGAACGTAATTTTATTTTATATTAAAATTTCATCCAAAAACAATAAGCTTCATTCATAATTTCAGAAAAATAGCAATAAACTCACCAAAACAAATATTTTCTTTCGCCTGACATTGACACACGCGCCACACACAAACAACAGAGGTGTGACGAAAATCTACAGAAAAACTTTTACCACATGATTCCCTCTCCACGAGCGAAGCTGTACTGTATACTGTATAGTAAATACACGACGCATCGTACGAAAGTGAAAACGGCGGCCAACCGCTTTTCAGAATATATTAATTCGACCAAAGAGGGATTTTCCGCTTTTCTGACTTTCCGCGGGCATCGGCCGCGACGCTATAGGCGCTTTCCCGATGCTGAAAATATTTCCCCTGGTTGTTATGGCAACCTAGCGATTTGTCTCGTGTACGGCCTGAAGTCAATAGGTAGAGAGGCGGTGATATGAACACCGTTAAATTTTTTAATTATAAATTAATAATAAATCACTTTTTATTACGTAAGATTATATTTTTTGAGAATTTTAACAACTGATTGGTTATACTACAATCGTAGTAACCAAATCTATCTGTTAAAGAATCATTGATTTCACGTAAAAATCTGACACAGATATATCAAAGTTCTAAAAGGTATATGGTGTAACTGATAATAAATCCGTGAAGGTGTACAGCTGATTTTTCTTTTTTAAGCAAACGTAAAAAGTGAAAAATATGTTTTGCTATAAAACGTTTCTTATACATGTGCTTCAAATAAATGTTATAGGTAGCTTATAAAAAGTTCTTTGATTTTTAGAGTTTCCAAATTAAAATATATAAAGAATTGTCCGAGATAAATGCAAAAAACCCTACTTTTCGCAATAATTCATAAACGTTAATAACTTTTGTTGTTTGCATACTGACATGTAATTTAACTGCTTAAAATTGTGACAATTAATGAGTTAATTCTATTTAATTAACCTTTTTCGGTCCATCTTTGAGCATAGGCCTCCCCAATCCTTTTCCATTCTTCTCTGTCTGTCGCTACAGTCATCCACCTAGAGCCCACGTGCTTCTTGATATCATCTGTCCATCTCATTTGGGACCTTCCTCTGCTTCGTTTATATTCCCACGGTCTCCAACTTATGAGAATTTTGTTCCATCCGTCTTCTTTTTGTCTTATATTGTGTCCGGCAGATCTCCATTTCAATTTTGCAACTTCTTGTCTAACATCCCTCACTTTTTTTTCTCTCTTATCCACTCGTTTTTCTTTTTATCCCTTAGTCTTATGTGCAACATTTGTTTGCTCTTTTTATGATTTTGTCCATGTTTGCTTTTGTAAATGTCCACGTTTGGGAACCATAAGTGCGAACAGGGAGTACGCATTGATTGTATACTTTGGGCTTAAGATGCCGTGGATATCTTTTGTTTTTAAGAATGTAGCTTAGTTTGCCAAATGCCGTCCATGCCAGTCTAACTCGCCTTTTAATCTCTGCTCTTTGGTTTTCTTGTTGTTTTATAGTTTGACCCAGATATATAATCCTGAACTTGTTCTATTTCATCTTGTCCGATCCTCACTGGGATGTCTTCATGTGTATTTGTTATGAATTTAGTATTGCTGTAATTCACATTAAGGCCTATCTTTTCAGCTTCTACGTCCAGCTCTCTCGTCATTTTTAACAATTCTTTTTTTTTATCGGTTATCAATACGATGTCATCAGCGTACCTTAGATGGTTCAAGCGTTGTCCTTAAATTTTTATACCTTTTTCTTCCCATTTTAATCTTTTAAAAATATCTTCCAGTGCCTGATTGAAAAGTTTCTGTGATTTTGTGTCACCCTGTCTCACGCCTCTATTTATTTGTATTGTTTTTGTTCCTTCATACACTTTAATTATTGTTTTGGCTTCCTTATATATATATATATATATATATATATATATATATATATATATATATAACACTGTTTTTGATGGGTTGGAGTCAATAAAAGGGGCTATTTGTTGACTATTTTCTACTCGAGCTTTCAATTGTGATTACAATTTTTATCAAGAGCTTCTAAAAAATACAAAATGTCTTACAAAGTTGAACTAGAAATAAAAAATTTTTTGTTAACTCACCAAATAAAATTAGTTTTTTATATAAAACTACTGCTTACATATTAAATACAAAAACTATTAATAAAAAAATGTCTTGTTCTAATTAATGTTTCTCTGAAAAATTTAGATGAAGTTTCTTAAGAAAAAAAAATTGAATTTATAAACAAAAATAGAATAGCTACAACCAGCCTAAAGGTCATAAATACTAACTTAAAAATTTTTATTTTTGACATATTGTCAAAAATAAAATTTTGTTTAAAAAATTCTTCTTTGTTTAGTAACCAAAAAGAAGAAGATTTATTCACCATTGATAGATGCCCGAAAAGATGTAACAAATACATGGAAAATTCAAAATGTGATATTTTACTGACTGCATAAATTAAATAGAAATTATATAATTATAAATTTTGCTTAAATTTTGAATTTCTGACCTTTTGTTTAAATTATTATCACTTTTGCTAATACAAACCATTTCCAAAAAAGTTCTTTTAAATTTATTACTTTCATTACATAAAATTTTAATATTATCAAAATCCATAATATGGTCTTTGTCTATTACATGCTCTGCCAAAGCACAAGATGGTTTCTTAATTCTACAATCACTCTTGTGAGAAATAATGCGATTTGAGAGATTTTTTCTTACTCTTATATATATATATATATATATATATATATATATATATATATATATATATTCTATTAGCTCCGTATATATGTGATCAATTCTGCTGTTAATCAAAAAAGAACTTTTCACTGCCCAGTGTTCGACGCTATCGAAAGCCTTTTCGAAATCTATGAACGCCATATATAGAGGAATGTGGTATTCATTTGCTCGTTCTATAAGTATTTTCATAATTAGTAAATGGTCACTTGTGCGGAATCCCTATCTAAAACCTGCCTGTTCTTTCGACTGGGATCCGTCGAATTTTGTCGTCAATCTATTGGTTAAAATTTTTGTTAGCAGTTTATACATTACATTGAGGAATGTTATACATGAGGAATGGTTACGGATTCCTTCCAGTTGTTTGGGATTCTTTTTTCTTTTAATTTCTTCTCAAAAAGGGTTGGTAATCAGTTATTAAAGTGTACTAAATTTCAAAAAGATCTGTAAAACAATTTATAAGTTATTTAATTTGTTTATCTCGGATAGCGATTATTATGTGCCTAATAGCGACTAATAACTCAAAATTTCAAACTACGTTTGCTTTAACTAAATGGTTTATACTTATTTTATACATTTTTAAACCTAATAATGGAATTATTATTCCGAAAACGTTTGTGTAATTTGATGTAGCTCTTTTAAGGGTTTTTTAAATATACCCATTTACAAAGATCTAACCGTCTTTTTTTATTTCATAAAATGTATATTATTAATAATAACAAATGTTTTTGGTTATTTAATCAATATAATTCTAAAATTTCCAATATAATGGTGATTACATCTTTCTGATTATTACACCATGTTGATGCCTATGAAAGATCGAGCAGTTCGGTATGGGTTTCGTATTATTAGCTGTATTAGGAAAATTTGAATTCTATGGTTAACGTTCTGGAAATTTTAAATACAAGTGACGTCACTTTGTATAAATCGTGACGTGTAAGTGTTTTACTTTGGAAAATGGTATATGGCATAAACGGTGAAGGAGTAAAAAACTTAACCCGTTACCCGTTAAAGTTATGGTGTTCATAAAATACCTCCACGGAAAAGTACAAGGGGACTGTTCTGTGCAATACCTATATTAGAATTGAAAATGACTGATAGCACAAATTTTATTGCAGGTGAGATAAAACCCAATATAACATCACAAAACAGTGACGGAGATTTTCTAAAATAAAATATTCAGCATTGTTCTGAAAATGTTAGCGTTTTACCTAAAATTTTTAAATATACCAATTTATTTCAATTCCTGTCTTAAATTCTGTTTTTAAAAATTTAAAATTCTTCACATTCAAAATAAAGGCCTTAAGTTATCTTTGTTAGAATCTATGGAAATCAACAAATTAAAAAACAGAGATATAATTCTGAATGACCAACTTGAGACAAACAGTTCTCCCTCCTCAACCCATTTCATTAGAGACTACAAATTTGTAAACCCAAGCCAAAAATAGATCACTTGAGAAAGGCAATCAGCCGAAACAGCTGTAGTGATAAGATTTAAATCAAATTTTGTGAAAGTTTGAAAACAAAGTTTTCAGTGTTTATTGTTACATGAAATTTACTTTGTTTACTTTTTTTGAAAAAAGAGCTGGTTCAGATTATTTGACTATACGGATCTCATCTGGGGCTTATTTTCGTTATTAAGAAGTATACTATTAACCTATAAAAAAAGTTTAAACAAAGCACATTTATGTACACAAAATGATTTACTAACAAATAGCACTTTTTACAATTTGGAAGAATCAGTGTGAATGGTCAACCAATAGAAAGAATAAAAACATACACGCCCCCTGGTTCGAACGACAATGAAAATTGGGACCATTCCCTATAAAATCCACAAGGAAAACAATTCCTGTAGCTGGCTGTATACCACGTATCACAAAAAAAGAGGTTAGTCTTCGTAAGTGGGTATATTTATTTAAAAACCCTTAAAAAACAAACGTTTTCGGACTAAACAGTCCATCATCAGGTTTAAAATCGCTAGGTTAAAATGCCTGAGCCACCAAAAATACATGGGTAAAAACCCTTTAAATTACATATAGTTATAAAAGATTATACATCTTGTTGTTAAAAAACTGTGATGTTCAGTAATAATTTTTTTAAATTTTACCCATGTATTTTTAGTGGCTCAGCGATTTTAAACCTGATGATGGACTGTTTAGTCCGAAAACGTTTGTTTTTTTTATGTAGCCCTTTTAAGGGTTTTTAAATAAATATACCCACTTACGAAGACTAACCTCTTTTTTTTTCATTCCCTATAAATCAAATGTAGGATAGATAGAGAAAGAAAGATCTGTAATTCAAAGAATTGTTAAGCTACTCAATTGTCATTATTTATCAGTACCCATAAAAATCACGTTACTACGATGTTATATCTTTCTTATACTGCTGTACGGAGTTGAATCGTGGACTCTTAGAGACGCTCACTGTGGATTT